TCAGGTGTTTAAAACTAACCACACCAAGACCCTTTGGAGGAGGTGGACTCCAAAGTGGTTTGTTTGTGGTGTGAACATAATCCGACTTCCATCTGAACCAACTACCAGTTGTACTTTGCAAGTTTGAGCTAAAACGCTTCCTGTAGTCACGTTTGCACATCATCCTCTACAAAGCAAAGGTCTGTGCAGAGCAGCAAGTAGCCGTGAAATGAATGCAAGTTCTCCAATAATCCCAAACACAGCACCTTTTCCTGTTTCTACTTTTGTTGCTCCCGCCCCAAACACATCTGGCGAATGAGACAGACCGAACATTCTCACTTGGTTTCTTGGTTTGTAGTGAAGCGTTTTGGTTCGTGTGGAGTTTGATTTTTTCTGTGTGTGGAAACAAACAAAATAGATCAGATCAGAATAAACTATAGGTGTGAAAACACACATACTTCCAGACGTTCACCGACAGTAGTGCAAGTCCACAAATTCAACAAGTGTGTCAACTAAGCAGCCGAAAGCATAACAAAGTCACAGAGAGCTACACTGTGACAGCATGAAATGTAGCCAAAGTGAAACAATATCAAAGAGAAGAGGCTGAAACTGATTCTCACAGTTGGACTGGCACGAGCATTTGTTTGAACACATGGCAAAGAAATCCAGTTTCTTTCTTTTTGAATTGAATTGGTGTCTATATTGGTGTCTGTAACTTCAGCCAATCCCCTGCAGAGCAGCAAACACTCCTTAAATAGAGCTGTAGGATGAGCTCATCGCTGCCCTGTGAGGCAGTGACACAGCCGGTGGCTTACTCTCCCCATCACCGAGACACATTTAGCTTTGTTTGCTCTACAAATAATCCCTCCTCTCTGTCTGCTCGCGGGTGCCTCTCTCCACTCCACAATAATTAATTTGGTCATGAAGATTCAGAGAACGCTTCAGGCATTCCCAGTTTTTTGGTTTTTAAACTTTTTTCTGTTTCAACATTCGAGCTTTGAGTTGACTGACTTGGTGTGTCCCTGTCCCTCGAAAGATGAAATCATCCAGCAGTGCTCAAATGGAAACTACACGCATAAAAAACAAACCCTGTTCCTGAAGATGCCCTTTAGGAGCTCAGATTAAGAGTTCATGAACACTTTATGAAGAGTCTCTTTTGATGCCTTCTGGAGAGAATTTAATTAAGTCCAAATTCCCCGCGGCTTGGTTGCTAATGTATAATTTAATCATGCTCGAGGAGCAGTTGCAGCTTGATAAAGCCCCGTTCTTGTGCCATGGACTTGAATACCATTGCTTGCTGTTTTCACTTTAAGCGTTGGAGCTCATTAGTTTTGGCTCGCCTGCCTTGTTTGGCCATTATTGGAGGACACGCCCCCCACTGAAGATTTTTCCATTCGATTCCACTTATGTAAATGCACAAACACATCGAGCTATAACAGCC